CGATCTAGAATTTATGGAGTTGGGCAAGGGTTCCATGAACGAGCAATGCCGATAAGCTCTTGAGCAGTTGGCAAAGAATTTATCCAACCTAATTGGAAAGCTGATCACTGACTTCTGTCAATTTTTTGCTCGTCGCATTGATCCATCGTATCTATATCTCATATTGAAAATTATGCATCCACATCTGGTTTGGATACAGATAAGCGATGAATACATATATCTATCTCTTGCCCTAGTCTGAATTCATCAACTTCCTGAAGGATCTTTTGATGGTGAGCAAAATCACAAGACAGACAAGCTGATAGACAACAAAACTTGAATCAACCTCGACATCTATAAAGTCGAAGCTCAGACTGCAATATGTTACAATGATGTAGTTTTTCGTCGACAAGAGAAATCTCATATAGACAAAGAGAAGGAACATTTCCTCAAGAAATTTTAATCTCTCACAATTGCGGTTGATAAGACAAAAAATCAGAGCTTAAATCATCCAAACAAGTCATGGAATATGAGATTCAATTGAAGGAGATTGCTAGAGATGAGGATAGAAAGTTTGCATTGCTAGACTCAAAAATAAGTTCTGAAAAGTTTGATTTTGAACTATTTGGTGAAGATTATGATGCAAAAAATGTCAATGCATCAGTATTGAAGTTTGTGGATCTGTGAAATTTGAGAGAGATTATTGTAAAATTTGAGCAATTGTAAAATTTCAAACTTTACAATAGCAAAAATAGTGAGCTTCGTGGATTTGTAAAATTTGACAGAGAACTACTGTAAAATTTGGAATCGATGAGAATCACTATCATCCCTTGAGATATTCAAGCAAAAGCACGATCATACATGAAAAATATATTTTATGATTTGAATTTGCTCTAAATTTTGCTGAATATCATTGCTTTTAGCGTTAAAGATTTTTGTTTAGCAAGATTTTTGTTCAATTGTTCTTGAATGTGTATTCAATGAGTAAGCAATCTGTTTGCTTGAACATTCTAACACAGTTTCTACCCTCGAGTTTTGATCATTGGCAGCTCGTTAACTCGTAACTTTCTACATTCCGTGGTAGTGTTTATATCATTTCAACTTGCCACTTGCAATTCAACTTCCTCACTTGCATCATTCATCAACATCAAACTTAACTTCATAGCAACATTCCGTGACAGATTGTTTTCTGTTGCTCTAAGATCAATCAAAGTTCTTACGTTGCTCATCAAATCATGTGTGACAATAAGTTGGGATTTTTTTTCTACTTCCATGAGCTTTGTTTTGTGGCTTCTTTCAATGTCGCATTTTGTTTGTTTTGTGAAACCAATAAAACCGCGAGACAAGTTTATTGTTGATATTTTTCTTCAAAAACCACTTTCTCAATGTTTTCAAACTCTATCCCCTCCATCCCCTCCATGTTGTTGAATAGTCGTCGCTATTTGAACCGGCCTCCTCGTGTCAATCGTGAAGCTTACTCGAAGATGAAAACATAAACTCTAAATATAAAAGATACCATCTATGATTCTACTCTCCCTTACATAGATATTAACAATAAATACAAAGAGAGACAATCTCCTCCCTATCATCCATTTTACCAATAGTGAATGGATAACATGGTGAAAAATTCTAACAAGCTTACAAATTGTTGATATGATGTTATCAAGTAACACACTTACTCTCGACCTAGTAAGCATACGGATCGTTAACACGACAATTATGACTGATGCATTCTAAAGTAATTATAATCTCATCTTGAGTAATTTCTACTTTAGTTTCAACTAACTAGAGATGGTTAAAACTTGGAACCAATTAAAGCAAAAAAAAGTCATTGTCATTGAGTTAGCTCAAACTTTAGTCTGCTTAAATTTATCAATCAAAAAAACAACAACAATTTGTTCATATTGATGACAAAAGCAATGAAAAATATGCCACAACAGTGTTGAAAGATGTTAAAAAGCTATTGTAATCAATAAAGATAACAATGCTAATCAATCAAAATAGATTATTGACTCACAAGAAAGAGTTAAATATCATGAATTTGAGATTTTGTATAAACAAATTTTTGATATTAACGATCAGTTATTCTTCTCTAACATTCAAACAGAAGCCAAAAAATCATTGGAGAATCTCAAAAAATTGTTTGAAGAGTTCAAAATCAAGGTCCAAGGAATCGTCCTCAAAGCTAGACGGAAAAAAAATCAAAACATGCCTCAGATGACGATTCATGATAAATTTCACTCAATGATACTAAGATTATTGTCATACTGCATACTTAACCGAGATGCGTATTTAAACAAGTGCGTGCTTTAAGTGGAATACTAATGTATTTAATATCCCTAAATAACACTAAATTGCAAAATTAAAACACTTACATTCATGACAACAAAATACAAAATCCATGATTAAGATTTTTTATTTAGAGAGTTTTGGTTATTAGGTTAGATAAACTCTTATTTGATTCAAACTTGAATTGCAAAGAAAAAGAACGAAGAACCGAGCATAATAAAGCCAAATACCAAAAATTGTTCACAAACATCTTTATCTTTTTACATGATACAATTTATACTCACATGTAAATGAAAGAAAAGAAGTTCATTTTAATATAATTCATTTATAATTCACTACATGATAAAGTGGATTTGCGAGTAAAAGATGTGGTAAATTTATAAAATGTTGGTTGTTGATTCTTTTTTGTTGAGTGTGATTTTATTGTGATATTAAAGAAAAAGATATGAAAATCATATTTTTGTGTGAATGAAATTTTGTTGTGATGATAAAAAGTAAAACATAAAAAAAAACCAATGCTTGAATGAACTAAACACACTCTACAATGATCAAAATTATGAAGCATATGAAATTAATTCAAAACATATCTTTATTTTGCAAGCTCAAAGCTATTTAATTTTTTGTGGATTTTATTTAAAAAAATTATCATAGCACATTTGTAGTAAAAGTATTTTTTTGAAACTGAGTTCACATTATTAATTTAATTTTCTTGATAATGATCATCATAAATATGCTTTAATATTATTATATTCAAGCTCACATGATATGGATGAAAACGGAAAAGATTACTTAAACAAGATTTGTATGTGTTTGAATCATTTGCATAAAGTCATAAAGTAATACCACATAAGTTTGATCATTGATTTCCAAACATTTAAATTCAATCACGTGTCATTCATCGTGTGATATTATTGAAAACTACATATGAACATCAAACCAATAATCCTAATAAAAATAATATTGTTTTTTGAAAAATTATAGCTTTAAAATAAATCATGAATCTGATGTTGTATATATTGTCAAATGCAATTTTGAATGAGGACATTTTAGAATTAATACAAAATATGCTTAACATTATGTTTATTTGCAGAATTTTTTTATAAACATGAAGTGTGTAAATAAATATTCCTATAATTTTATAATATAATCAGAATGAGCAATTTCATTCATATGAAATTTTTTTTTCTAAGATGCATGATTTCCCAAGGGGATTGCTAAATTTACCTTTGTGTTATTAAAATCACCAAGTCTCAATAGTTATTATGGCAACAAGGCTATTCGATACGTTGCAAAGTATCATGTTGCATATCTTTGTTTTTAATCTAATCAGTATAGATTCCAAGTACAGATTTAGCTATCTCAGAACCATCACTACTATTTCATGCTCCGAACACTTAACTTTCTTACTATACACCATGCAGACGCCTCCAAACACATCTTTGATGAGATGTTTCAAAGTACACAAGCTTTTGCACATAGCCAGACTATGCAATCCCTAAGGAGCGTATCGGTTAATAATTTTAAATTAAATAATTTGTATTTCATATCGTATGAATTTCCTTGGTGTAAAAGGACCTGTTACTATTGATTCGCTTCGGCGACCCATTTATGGGAGTGTCCTTCTCCAGACATTGTAACTCGTTTCTTTCACCAACCTCTCATCTAAGTGAGCTTCTGCTCCGAGGTGTTAGAATAAAAAGAGTCTTGTCATATCCACGTGGCAAAATAATTAAGAGGTATATCATGTGCAATGAAATGTATATATTAAAGAATTTCAGAGAGAATTCAGTCCGAATTTATCGTACTCTCCGCGTGCATCGAGTAGACTTTCTTTCGTGTCTCGAGACGAGTATCGTCTCAAGGGGCACAAGATGTCAGAACTCATGCATGGCGGAAAGACAACAGAATGTCACTGACAGGCAGGCAGCGGTTGGACCTCCAACTCTTCGACCCACCTACAACTCACTTTTACCGTTTTTCGTTTGCTCCCAGAGACACCCAAGCGATTTCATGGACCTCAATTTCCTACGGACTTCCCGATTGCAGAGAATCCGTAGACTCAGAAGTAAATGCAAGAGCCAGTCTCACTAAGAGGCTGGTGAAAAGGTGTTAATAATAATCACGCCGAGTCGATTGAACAACTAAAAATCGATGAGATGTAGAGCTTGGAGCTTTAGCTGACCCATTTAGGCGACACTTGACAAGCCAATTCCATCGTCTTTTCGCTGATGCACGCACTGGTTCTGCCACCATCTTTCCCAATGCTGTTCTGTGCGCTGCGTTGCTGCCACCGGTCGTAGATCGTCAATGCTTGAAAGATGAGGTGACAACTTCAATGCTTCTCGTTAAAGTATGCTCGCACAATCGCAACACGTTTGACGGTGGGAACTCCTTTCTGAAATACAAAGCCAGATGAAGAGGAAGGAGGTCTAAATGCCTGAGAGAGAGGCTCACGAGGAAAATTCTTCAGAGCTTAAGAAGTTGTATTACTTCACAGAAATACACACAAATGAGTAAATGAGGCCTCGTTGCACCTCGTCGCGTTCGGCCTTTCTGACGTCACGTCACGATCATTGGATCTGCGACAGAACCCTCAAGACGCGCGACGAGAACTTTGTGGCCGTAGCTCGCATCATGCGCTTCAGTCACTGACTCGACGTCGCGAGAAGCACTGCAACATCAGGTCCTAGGGGCGATACAGGAAACATGTGTCCCGACAGATGCCAGTTACCGAGACGAATCGTCGGTAGTTTCTGTGGATTGTGGACCGGATCCAGGACTCGGCAACCTGCACTGGGAGCACGACGGGACGAGCGTCGAGGGGCTGGGGCCTTCGAGGTTCTGGCGATGGTGGAAGGCGCCTGAATGACCGAGTGAGCATGAACGAAGAATGAAACAACGAGCGACGATCGAATACAGTTTCTTCCGGAATTCTTCCGCATGTAGTTTCACTGATTCCCTTACTTCGTTGTTGCCTGATCTGCATCATCATGATCCAGAGCAACAAGCAGCCGTACGACATGTATGGAGCCCTGGGTGAGAGCCTTCTGCAGCTCGAAGATGTCGCTGACAAAATCTTCACATCCATCACCGATCGAGTGAGTTGTCATTCTTCTTATGAATTCGACATGTTTGCCACAACCTTTAACGATGTCTGGTGGGACGTTAAGTTGGAATTGGCGTAAGAGGAGCAGCTGGAATTCGTAAATTGTCTAAAATCTTGAGATTCTCGATTCCGCAGATATGCTAATCCATCACCGTCACATCGTTCAATTGAAAAGATTGTCATGTAATCCAGAGAACAGTTACCCTTGTTAGTGGTTCACGTCTCTGATTGAGGAATATCACAGTATTATATAGGGACACTGGCACATGTTTGGTAGTTTCTGGAGACCTGTGACCTAGAGAATGCTGCTGAATTGTTCCCTTTGTGGATTATGTTGTATGATTTCTGTCGATCAAAGATGAGATAGAAGACAACGGGGTATAATAAAAAGCCGGTACTGTTGCTTCCTTCAGTTGAGGAAGTTCCCGTTTCGTAAATTGGGACTAAATGTTCAAAAATGCTGGAAATTAACGTCATTGGACTTTTTGGAGTCACTGGTTTGACATGTCTGTATTTTCGTCACAATGTTCAGATTCGATCACAGAATCAACAGCTGAGAGGTCTGTCATCCAGAATCCAAGCTGCACAGGTGGGCTCATGGTAACCATTAGATGAATCAGCATTCTTAGAACCAACCTTTTCTTTGAATCTCATTTTCCTATTCCATATAGCCTCATCTTCCTTTCTGCATTATGTATGCATGCGAGACAGAATTGGTTCTCTTGCAAATGACAGTCAAATCGCTACTTCAATATACCTTCCTGTCTGTTGTCCCGAATCCCTATGTGTCAACTTCAGTTCTACGGAGTCATCCACTCCTCATAAATATTGCTGCTTAATGTGATGGTCCTTTCGTTCAGGCAAGAGTAGACGCAATATCCGGGACAAAGCGAGCCACGTGTGTCTATTCAAGTGCAAAGTTTCCAGAGATAGATCCTTCGTCGACGGATTATATACCATTATCTCAGAAAAGGCGAGACGAATACCGCATACCCTCAACTGTTACAATATCATTGAACACAGGACAATGGCAGGTGTGCAGTTTCTTCCGAATGCCACTCGAGTATCTTTCTATTTACCGAATAGATGACTCGCCGTCAGGTGATTTTGATATAGTTCCAATTGGCTCGTCTTGTCTCAATCTCGAACCTGTTCACTACGCTCAACGAGGATTTGACGAAAGTAGATCTGGTAACAGTATTGAAATTTCATAGTGTATTACATGCTCCGACATTGGAGACCTCAAAAACTAAAATGTGGACTTATTTTGTTACCAGAATGGAGAAGAGGGTACTTTGGAGCTTTTCCAGTTCTTCTCAGAGACCAGTCACGAGCACTGGTTGAAGGATCACAAACGGAAGGTACTACTATTAGTTTTAGTGTGAGGCAGTAATGAGCGTGCTGGATACCTCTCATGTGGCAAGGAAGTCCATCCAGTTCACGTATCAGTCGAAACATCTCATAGTTTTTTGTCTCATTTGCAGGAGGGCATCGGCAAAGTTCCATCGCGTGTCAAGTCAGTTGCAGATGTTATTCTCTTCAACTCCACAGAACTTCCTTATCACAAGTTCGTAACAGTAAACCTCCTACTGAATTCTATAAGCTCGCGAAGTTTTTTGTTTGAAATTTTGTGTTTTCTTAGTCAAATGTGCTTCTTCATTCCCCGTCATCCCGAGGTGATTCGTGTTACCCAAACTTCTAAGTTGTTCAGCTCCACTGTGAAGAACCGTGAAGCCCACAATTTGAGTAGAAGTCTCCTGAGATATTCTATTTGGTTATTGCACGTCACATCATTGCTGCGTTGCTTTGGCAACTGTTGCCTTTGAACAGATACAGGATTGTGGATACTCTTGCTGGAGCTGACCAACCAGTCGATGAAGAGGAGGTGGTGGAAGTCAAACATGTTGATTTGCCCGCTCCTCCTCAAAGTGTCCTCGGGGGTGATGAGACGGTAAGTTGCTCGATATGTGAAGCTACTATCCTTGTAGCCAGGTTGAAACCCCTTGGATGTAAGTTGTAAGCACATAAAATGAAGAATTGGAAAAAACCTCTTCAAAGTCGTACACATGTCCCCATTTTAGTGACTTACGTCTAGTTCTTTGACGTGTTTCGTCCTTTTCCTTACCCTTCGTCGAGCTTCGAAGCAGTGCATCACTGACTTGAAGCCTCAAAATCATGAACAAAGTCATCACACCGTTTTCTTACGTTTGACGTCCGTCTCTTCTGCTCCCCTCCGATCTTTGTATTGCTTGTGCTTGTACACGCCGGTTCTATAGCCTCGGTAGCTCTTATTGAAATTTGATGTCCTCTCCTGCTTACTTTGATTTTACAGCCGAGACAAGGAGCTGAAGAGTATGGTTTCAAACCCGTTCTCCGACAGGTGCCCACGTTCAGTTTACCATCTGTGCTGCCTGATCTTCCGATGATAGCAGATCTAAGCTGGAGTGGTCGGTCATTATCTCTTGATACATATTTCACTATCAGTTGAAGGAATTACAAGTCAGGAAGCATCTAAATATCCTTGTTGCTTGTATCGCAACCCTCTTGCGCAATCTTCCTACAGTGCTTTTCTGGAGGAATTTTCTTCTTTCTTTTGTTTACGTCTTTCAGTGAGCAAGTTATACTCACTTGATTGACATCATGTGTTATGCTCTTGACACAGTGGTGGCATATACTAATCAAGTAGTGGTCTTTACTGTAATGTAGGTGCAACAGGTGATTATGACCAACTTCCTTCGATCGCACCATCTGCTGTGTACTCTGCCCCATATTCTCCTAGCGCTCGCAGTAGTTCTTCAAGATTTGACTCGGGTTCGGTATCAACTAGATTTGATCCTACTTATGCGGCCTGGAGACCTGACTCTGCTTCCGGAGATGGTGGGTCTCGCAGGATCATTTCTATCTTTCTCTCCTTGTCTCTAAGTTTGCGACCTTTGCCGACTGTCCAAGAAAGTACATAGAGTTTAGACACATCATTCCTGAACACGAGTCTATCTTAACTACTATTACACTTATCGGGGACGATAGAATCCGTTGGAAATATAGTTCGGTCGTTCTTCAAACGTTGCAATTCCAGTTCGTCCAAAAATCTTCGCTCCAAAAGTCAGCATTTGAGCTGATATTTGGAGCGTAAATTGTATTGTATGTTCATTTAGCGGTTCTATTATGCTTAGGTTCTCTTTCTAGGTACAAACAAAGATTGATGAAAGGCTGCAGACTGCTGTGTCCTTCGTTAGTCTCACTTTATGTGATGCCTAATGTAGTAGCAGTTTCTTTGATTCTACAGGTTTAATGCAAGATGCTTCGTCTAGAGGACTTCCACGCATTCGTGTGAGCGAGTCACCACCTCCAGAGAGGCGTTCAAGAAAGAAGACCAGTGATAGTCAACCATCCTCTGCGCGTTCGCGAGACGGTAAGGATGATTATCTTAATACATTCACAGCCTTTTTTTCTCCTTTGAAATTTAAATTCTACGAGCAGATATGAAATTCTTGAATTGAACCTTCCGCGAGCAGATACGAAGTCTGGTATACACTACTCTTGCTCAAGATAGTCCCCAGGTTCAAGGGTTCTACTAATTTCAGATTTTGTTACTAAAGATTTTGAGTGCGCTGTTATGACGATCTCAACTGCAGGCACAAAAGCAGCTTCTGAAAGAGGCCAAACTTTCATGGCACCTACACCTATACCTCCACCCCCGCCACCTCCACCGCCATTGCCACAGTTTATGCGAAATCTACCTGCCCTTCCTGCTGGTGGTTCGCATTTGATAAGTAATGCTAAAGATAGTGAAAAATCAAATCTTTTTGTAAGAGCGGAAAGTAGTCGAGCAATTCCAGGGAATCAAGTTGCGAGTAATCCTTATTCGGCTCCTGCACTTCCAGTACCGGGTGGGTTTACTCAATTGTGAACCTGTCAAGTCCAGGTCCTTTAATTTTATCCAACAGTTCCTCGTCTTATCAGATGCTTCGAAGGTGCACTGATACGGTGTTCAATTTTGACGTCAGTAATCTTGCTGCGAAAGCGTCAAACTTTGATGTTTGTAACGTGCTTGAAACTGATGGGAATGGAATTTCTCTGTGAGATGACCTGAATTGTTTGCGTCAGACAGAACTGCTTATGGTAATATATGCCTTAGATGTAATGAAGGTCGAGAAACTGATGGGAAGCGAGGAGTTTGAAGCTGGCTTGTTAATTGAGAAGAAGTTCAACTTCATGTCTGATATCTTTGGTTTAGAACTTGTGACATGGATGTAAATTCGGCAATGTTCTCCCATATTTGCATTAAGCGATAATCTGATCATACCTTGTCTTACTTGGAATAACAGATAGCCGACGAGCAGCGCTTCTGGCATCGATACGTGATTCTGGGCTGAATATACTTCGCAAGGTACGGAGTTTAACGTGCTTTGTTTTGAAAGTTTTGTCAAGTGTTCTTTTTTTCCCAAAGAGGTAGGCCCTTCCGGCAGTTGTGTATATGCGGCTCGTGGTTGCTGGATTGTTGTCGGTACAGCCAAATCAAAACCTCCTATCTCGACACTATGTTTAATTGCGGTCTTCATCTCAATACTGATAGTCTCTTATACAGACTCCTCGCACTGATGGCTCTCTGCCATCTCTAGACACCCCTGGAAGAGAACTCAGTGGAGGTATTGATGACAGGGAACCATCCAACAAGTCGACGTCGTCCGGCCCAAAGCAGGTACTTTGAAACAAACGATTTACGAGTTTGAGGACTTCCACGAATTTATACCTACTTGTGTTCTTTGTGTCGTTGTATGAAGTATCTTGTTGCTTAGATCAAGTGTACAACAAGATACGCAGCTGAATGTCCCAGTTGAAAGCTATATTGCTGAGCGTAATGCTGTCCAATCTTTCTGATCGAATCAATACTTGCAACTTTAGAGCTGACTATTATCCAAGTAGATAATTGTCCCGAAAAATCCACTGATGACGTATGTTAACTTTCTCATATATTGTGCAGCCCCTTAATGTCTTAGCTGAAATGGCGAAGAGCTTAACACTGCGCAGACTCTCGATGCGTGGTGCTTCTCACGATCAGGTATCCAGCATCTTCCAAAAAACCTGTTAAGAACTTTGCGTGCTAATGACGTTATAGCTCAGGGTCATCTAGAAGTCTACATGTAGTTTATTTTCGTGTGCTTCAGATTGGAGCGGGTATAATCTGAGATACCGATCGGTAAGAACTTCACTCTCATGATCTCCTTTGTCGTCCAGATGTCCATGAGAAGTGAACATCGACCAGCTGCAGTGGATGAGGATCATGCCAGCGGTTCAGGAGACAACAGGTACTCGGTCATAACTTCTCGGTCTGCCAAGTCGTATTCGTAATTTGCTGATTGGGGCGTTGTCGTGCCAAAAAAAAAAAGAACGAACTTTGTAAAGATGACGCACGAAGGCTTCTTGTTTAGATAGTAGAACTGTAGTTGTTAGTTTGCTGACTATATAGCATGAACTGACTGTTTTCTGCCATGGTCGTTTACAATGACGCAAAAAAATGGTCGACTTCGTTCAGCGTCAAGATCAAAACGCCTGTAAGTATTTTCAGAAGAGTTTTCAACATGTGTTGTAGGATATTGATCTCTAGCTCCTTCAGGTAGGTGCGCATGTTGAGCTCCTGTTAGCATGCGCACCCACTGAAAAGTTCTCTTCAGTAGCATGTGAACGACTTAGTTCTCTGAGAAACCCAGTCTTCAATAGATACGTGATTTTTGTGACTGCGACCACTGACTCACATAAGAGGAGATGGAGTATACTCAATGGAGGATGCTGGGTCTTGCTGCAGAGTGTCAATGCCTATATGGCGTCGCAAAGGCAAGAGGAGCTCAGTGATGACGAGGAGGACGATGATTGGGAAGAATGAAGGCTCCACCCATCGTCTGGTTTTTGTTATGTTTCTGCCCGGTTCTACATTGTACAAATGCATTTGCTTCATTTGTATATTATTCTGTCCCGTAATCAGAGAATTCTTTGACTAGAGTTCGGTACTTCTTGCTGGTAACCGTGGTCGTGCGTCACTTCAGTGGACCACATGCGTGCAGTCGTAAGACTTCAACGCATGGCTCATCGATGTAAAAAAAAAGAAGGGAGTGCGTTCACCACCCGTCGTTGCTAAGGAAGCTCGGGTCATAGCGTTTACTTCAGAATTCGTTGAAATTGACAGTCGAGCATAGACTCAGATAGATCTGAAGTGGCTAGTCGCAAGGCATCATCTCAGCTGGTGAAACACGAGAGGGCAGACAGTGCCAGGATCTGGTCCCTGGTCTGTGATAGGGTCACGAGGAGTACAGCCTCGCCATGACGCAGGATGGTTCGTATTGTGACTTCGACGACGTGACTGTGCCATACAGAAACCATGGCGAAGAAGCTTGTGAGTGAATAAAGAATGGCAATGCGCTAGTTGCATATTAGTGGTACATGATTTCAGCTGCATGAACCTGCTCTAGACAATCCGCGTCTCTGAGCGCGATTCTCACACAAGAATGCCTGTCTTCCTCCTAGCGTCCAATCGAGCCGATCGGATGGACAGTCCTCTATCGACCCCTCGAGCAATAATCGTTCACTCTGGCACCGACTGCAGCCTGCCACCGGACAAATGCGCAGAAGGTGCCATCAATGTACACCCCGTACCACCAGCGATTCTGGGATTTCTCGAGCCACTGTCAGAGTCCGGCAATCCTCCTGCGCCGGGCTCCGATGCCTGTGGGGACCCAGGAGGAAGAGGAGATGGGGCCTCGAGGGGCTTGAGAGGCGAGGGCGTCAAGCTCGACGCCCTCCTGGAACCGAAATTGACCGTGCCCGCGCTCGATGCGGACAAGCGTTTCATTTCGCCCGTGGGCGCCGTGTCGGGGCGCAATGCGTCGCAGCGACTGCGAGGCCGCCGAGCGCAGCGATCGCCATCGCTGCGCGGGGTCTGCGGAGGGCTCGGCGATGGCTGGAAGGCGTGCGAGGGAACCACGCGCTCCAAATAGCGTGTGATATCGGTCTTCCTGAGGCCGTGAGATTGGTCGCACGGCACGTGACGGCCTCTGTCTTCCACGCAAAATCTGCGCGTGATGTCGGTGCGCTTCATGCCGTAGTGCCTCGCGTCGCGGTGCGGGTCGGGTTGCTGCTGCTGCTGCTGCTGCTCCTCCTCCTTCGGCCGGCCCTCCCTCTCGCCATCATTGCCCTGCGGGGCCGCATCGGCTTTCATCAGCTGCTGCTGCTGCTGCTGTCGAGGAGGATGATGGTGGTGGTGCCGGAAGGTGGGTTTCGGCCGGGGGATCACCTTGGGCTTGGGCGTCGGGCACCACATTCTCGATCTACCTCACGATTCTTGATTCGCTTTCTCAGATGACGCAGTCTCATCATCGTCGTCGGACCGCAGTCAGGGCACTCAGAACTCTACGGCTCCATGGCCTTCACACACGAACATGGATTGAGACGACGACGACGACGATCGCCTCACAGCGCTGCGAGCGAGCTCTCGGGTCCTCGTCTTCTTGACCTGAGGTTGCGATCGCTGCGTGCAATGTTCAGCGGCCTCGTGCCCTCGCGTGCCTGAAGCTGAACGAGGGCTAGGGCGAGGGCGAGGGCGAGAGCATTAGCACGGGCATCGCGGCGGTTGGAACAAACCGACTTCTCCATCGTCCGTGGTCGTCGCCTACCTCCATCTCCGCGACCCGACCTCGAGAGCAAAGTCCGGGACGATCGGTGTGCCCGATCCGGAAGCCATCGTCGCGACGGGTGCGGATCGTCGTGCTGCTGCAGGACAGCGGGAAGTATCTCGAAATTCACATTCTCTTCGTGGAAAGTGAACTCGGGGCCGAGCGAGCGGTTACTCATTGGACTCTCAAGGAGCCGCAGGAGGAGGAGGAGGACGACGAGCTCTCCGGTTGTCCTGCACTGCCGCCGTTGGTTAAGCCGTGATGCTTTCCAATTGTCTTACGCATCCAGATCCAGATCCTGAGCTAAAGCGTGGTCGTTGAACCACGAAAAGTTGGTCGACACAATTCCGAAGAAATCGGCTTTTCCCTCTTCCTGCGGCTTCAGAACGTGGGTTCGTATCGAAACTCGCAGCTCGTCTGCATCCGAAGGCTTTCCGCATTCAATGCCTCGATGATGGACCGGACTGGTATTCGCTCGCTTTCCTCGATGGTCAAGAGGCCGCTTGCGGTGAAAGCCTTATTGCTTGCCGGTTCAGCATGGCCCATCTGTACCGTGACGGAGGGAGGGGCTGCGAGCCATCACGGTGATCCCACAGCCCCACTGCCAGTTTTCGATCTGCATGAAAATTCAGGCACGGGCCTGGTCCTTTTGTTACTCAATGCGCTGACAGTGGAAAGAATGAGGTACAGGTCACAGAAGAACTTCGTTGCTCATGGCTGACAGCCCAAAGAGATCACTGCACTGTCACTGGGGATTAGTTATATAAAACCCTCAAAAGGTTCAGGGCGGCCATGATTACAGAGAGTGCATAATAACAGCTACCGTAAACAATAAGGCTTGAGAACTCGACCTCAACCTGAACCTCGATCAGCAAAAGCCACCCTCTACCAGACCCGAAGAACCACTGAGTCGAGGTGCTGCATCAGTGTAGGGATCGGGTCATCATGAGGTCGGATTCGCTGGAGAAAGATCTAAAGCACTGCCCGTTCTGAAAGATACACTTCCTGTGTCCCACCGCACCCAAACAATATATACACTCGTCTTTAAAGCCATGGCTTCCGCTGCACAAGAACTTATGCGGTAGAGCCTACGGCGGAACAGAGTGTGAGGCATTGCTCCTACTTCCTGCGATCAGTGGAAGTTATCTTCCAAGCTTAGCATACATTGCGACACTATTGAGGGCCTTCGAAACAGAAGGAGAGACTGAAACCTGAATACAGTTTAGCTTTGTGCTTCCGTGTGCCTTGTTGATTTGCATTGACCCCGAAACTCCACTCTCCGAATAAACGTGTTCAAACCCTCTATCACTTGGACATAACTTGCACTACAATCAGTGCGCATCATTTCCTTACGTCCTGCTACTTGATATGTTTTCCAGAGATAGAAGTTTTTTCTGCGTCTCCATGAAAAATGACCTCTATTGCTTTTCATTCCTCTCACTCGTGAAAAGGTGCGTTGTCTGCTGTCATGATAGGCTTCATGAGGACCTGAGTCTGTACGTCGTGGATGGAAAAGACTCCCATTGACTTCTCGGTTCCCGAGTCGGTAACAGGCCACCCTTTCCTTCCATTGTTGTTGATGTCTCTGAAGGCTATTCTGTCAGATAGCTCGATAGACTACGCAGCTGACCAGTCCACAGTCCACGGGAAAAAGGGTCTCAGGTCTCAGGTCTCAGAGCTTTGCAGTTTTGGAGGTGAGCATTTTCTACACCTGTTATATGGGATCTCTACATCCAGTATCGAGCAATTGTCCCTGCAAAGGATGCTTCTTGACGTGAGAAGCAGTCAAACGAGAAAAGAGATAGGCTATTCAATCAAACTCATCTTGCTGAGTTCCATGGCATGTCCGGTGTCTTGAGTGAAACCTACCTGCTCTGGACGAGTTCAAGAATCTGTGCACACCGCACAGTTGACAGATCCCGTACCAAGACTAAGAAAAAAGTTTCCTCTGAATCATTACAACAAGATGGCCCTTCCTACTACTATCTGCTCACTGGCGTAAAGTATGGCTACTATGGCCAAACAGTTAGCCAGGGTGCGTGCACTTATGGAGGGCAGTCTGTACTGTAGTGATTTGTACCTTGGTTCGAACATTATTGTACCCCTGTATTCAAGCCCATAGGAGCTAAAGCGTGTACTGTACTTCACATTAGTGTACGTGGACTAATGACAGATAGAGAAATGAGCCTCGAGCAGAGACAGGTTCAGGTACGGTGGGGACTGGATGTGATCAGCCGGTCGCAAACACCGGAAACAGTATGAATGAATGAATGAATGATGAGCAGAGGATGATTCAAACTTCGTCCAGACTCGAGAGTTGGGGACCAAGTATGAATCAGAGTTGTCATTTCACCTCGGACGGTCAGACCAGAGAAGAAGACGAAGACTTGAATAAATTAGATTTGATTAGATTAGATTAGATTACGTGGGGAGAGTCCTCGGGGCCGAACAGCAAATCACGTGAAGGGTGCAGGTACTGCCAGCCATTGGCCTCCGTACCCCATTTCATGCAGGCCCCGATGCGGTTGGAGACTACAGAACTCACGAATCGTACACTGCAGCAGCTGGTCGAGATTCGAGAGTAGCATCGGTAAGCAGTGAGAGTGAGGCTGAGGCTGGCACACAGGGTCCGACCCTCGACTCCAACAATCTTCACGTACTTAAATATGTGGACGGGTAGCCCAAAGTACAGGACGAGCCCATCGAGTGCGGATGGAACTAAATAGTTAACAAAGTGCCAAGTCCCGACCATCATCACCATGTGAAATATGTTCAATGCACCACAATTTTCACTCTATCTTCAAACAATATAGTATACCCAGAATCATCACATCACATCATTGTGATTATTGTCTAATGATTTCACGTTGACTACACTATTCTAGTTCTATACTGGAATGGTACCTTGTGATTTAGCATGGTAGACTTTCACTATCTTTTTCAGAAACACGTCTAATTGGTTGTTTATTGGTTCAACGTTATATAGATGACATTTCAACTCTCGCGGTTCCGTATGCTTGAAAATGTTGAATGTTGCCGATCCACTCGTTGCCCATCTACGAACATGATAATCAAACTTGTGTCGATAGACATCACGTAGTTTTGAACAAATATTATAAACTTTAATCCTAGCAGATCTAAAGACGTTTGCATTCACTCCATGCTTATGATCTACCATCACAGACTATAACAAACTTTTTTTCCCTTCTGTACTGTGTAGTAAGTCAAGTTTACCCTTGTTTTATTGCTGATATGCAAACATTATGAATCTGCACAGCATCGTATAATGTGATCTAAATACATGACTTTCAACATTTGACGATAATTTTACAATAGTTTACTAGGATTAGCACACGTCTATCTTAATAAAATACTTCAGAAGAAATCCTAAAAAGGGATTAGTATTTAATTTCCCCACAATATTGATGATAATTGTTATTTTATGTACATAATATATGTAAATCATCTAATGCAACTCAAAATAAATCACATTCATCCGCATGTGAATGTGGTTTTAGTCTAATTGCAACAAGGGTGCATATGACTTGATTTCTATTTGAAATTCACAAAATTACTAATAATGACATTAATGATATGATGTATGCAATGAGGCATGATTAATACAAATTATATGGAAAGATAATTGATAAAATGTATTAATAAAACATCAAAAGAAAAAACTTGAAATCTCAACTTCTTAAAAAATGTATTTTGAAGGATGGATGTACATTTTATTGGAAAACCCAAATCATTGCTTGATGTTTAGACACATCACGCAATACTTTGAGGTTCTTCAACTTTGTGATCATAATGTTATGAAAAAATGATCACTTCTTTTATTCAAAAATCTTGTATCAAGTTTATGCAAATTTTCGATCAAGATAAGAAAATTTTATTTGTAAGGTTTCTTATGCACCTTTCGATTTATTTCATCATAGCCAAGTTATACTCTCTATACTCCCCCGTTCCTCTTTTAGTTGTATCCTATATATGAGTATGGAGTTTAATTTTCTGGTGAGAGGGACTTTCAACATTTTAGAGTGAGAAAAACATTCCTTGAAATCAGTGTTGTACAGAGAAAAAGGAGTCCAAGCTCTGGCCAAACTCCGTCTCCCGATGTATGAAATGTGTTTCAGCAGGAGGAAGAAATGCATTTTAACGTTAAACAAGGCTGTCCTTCATTTCTCGTGCTCCGGTTCCTTCACCAAGCTAAGAACAGATGGAAGACGTGAGAGGGATGGATCGATCGAGTGCACGCATCGTCGAGATCGATGTTGGAACCAGAAAAGAGGCACTGTAACAAATCGATGGACGCGCAGAATCTCACACGACAGTCAAGGTTTGCCAGCGGAGGAGCTGGTGGACATCGCTACAGGTGGTTCATGCACTGGTGAGCGGGTCGGGTGTCGATGGAGCAAATGCGCCTTGGCAAGTGGATCATGGCAGAGCCGACGTGGGAGGACCGTCTGGAAAAATCGGGCGGGCAAGCGCGAGCATGCATGCACAGCCACGAAGAAGGTCGCTCAACTTGTGACGGAAGTAAGTGCAACTTTCCATGCCTCGTACCTGGACATCCATCGGAGGTTGCGATCTTTTCTTTTCTCTTGTTTGTGGGCTTGCTCGGATTCTATTGCGACGATGAGACGAGATCTAGTTCCTTCCTCTCCTCGCCCACTGCCTTCCGTTTTGAAAAGATAGATCGGGAGCTTTTCACCTCACATTGACTACGCAGCTGCTGTCATAAAGAAATGGGAGGAAAGTACGAGCAGGTAATAAAGCGTTTACGCCTTTGTCTCCTTCTTCGGTGGTCCAAGGTTTCCGTGCTGTGGACTTTGTTTCATTCTCTTATCGTTTGCTTTGGAGAGACGATCTTGTCAGGAAAATTCTTGAAAGTAACTATTTCGCAGATCATAGACCTAGGAACCGCTGATAGCTCAGCATTAGCCTTCGTCCTTTCCAAGAAAAACATATTTTATTGTTGTTTCCTCTTCGAATGTCATGAGGAAAGCGTGATGACTGTTCGATGCTCGGTAACTCGAAGCCTTCTCTCTTGCGGTGCCTGCGTAACTTCTGGACGAGTTACTAAAATTCCATGAACAATGTCCGGGATATGCTCGGAGATACTTTTTTGGTGTGAACTTTTGCATAATCGAAACGGACTGAGGGATTAAAGAGAACCCTCCCTCGTTGTCGAAGATTCGAAACCCTGATGCAAAGTTATCGTATTCACTTTTCAGGAACGTGGATTGAGAATTATTTTAGACCCGTGGATGTGGGGAGCAGAAACAGCGGAAAGGACAAGTCACTGTCCGGTATATCTTTTGTGGAAGTCAAAATATTGCAAATCAATGAGCGGGTCCGATAAAGTTTCCACTTCCAGCCTCGACGTCTGCAAGATGAAACGTAGACTCGAGAGCACCCTAAAACTGTCGCAACAACAATGACAGAAGGAATTGTCAGTATGCACTCGAAAAGATGGGTCCATCTGCCTCGGAGCCTCGGAACGCTTCCGCCTCGGCTGACAAGAAAGTAAAGGGAGGCTGGAAGGGCGCTTTTCGAGCATATATTCCGGCCTCATCGCAGAGCATATAGAAGGCGGGTTCAAACATAAATATGCACACTCATATTTCACTTTACCCTTCTTTATGATCGCCACAGTAGGTGCGGCAAAAGGCTAACCCGGCCAACGCCCTCGACCTACTATAAGAAGGCGATTTTCGACTGTCGATGTCTCATGCGGGCAGGAAAGGCGAGCGCCATAATATAAAATACGGCCATGTCTATGGCTGTAGGTTTTGCGCAATTTAAAACCCTCGCGCATGCCCACACATACCGCACACATGAGTGGGCGAGTGCAGCAGTTCGGCGACGACCGTCACTCGATTCAAAGACTGGATTCTCGGGTCATCGAAAAGATCCAGGTGTCGACCTCGGATAGATTCTGGGGCTCTTCATTGAGCCGGGGAAATGATTTCTCACCACCCAAATGACGATGGGAGATGCCCATGTCGATCCTCGAAGATCCAGAAAAGATGAGAAAGATGAGAGAGTGAGTGAGAGGAGACATAGCGAGAAAGGCGATCGAACGGCGGAGCAGGAGAATGCACCGCACCATGCACCGAAGGATTGACACGCCCTCGAGAAGAAGGCTTCGTCGTCGTCGTCCCGAACCGCATGTTCTCTAAGCTTCTCGAGGGCGTGGCAAAGGGGTGCTTGGGCCGTGTACTGTACTGCAGCATGGGGACACGACGACGCGACCGGCCGGGGCGGCCGTCTGACGGGCGTACGTACGGGCCGACAGCGCGAGGCTGACCGATCCCCAGGGACCGAGAAATTCGGGATCCGGTCCAATGACCGACGCCGAGACCGAAAAGCTTGCCAGGGCCACCGGCACGCTGTCCTCGTACCGGCTAAGGCCGGGGACGCGTTCAAAGTCGCCGCCATCGCCCGCCCGGAGCCGTCGATCCGCGGCGCGGAGACGAATTCGAAGGACGGAGGATTCGAACGGGCCGGATCTGTCAGAGACCGGCAGTGCCGGAACGGAAGGCCACGATCTCCAGATGCCGGCGAACATTCTCCGCGTGCGGCGCGGATCGAAGGTCCGAGGCCGGCCGGGCCAAGTCGTTCGGCATTTCGCGATCCCTGAACCGCTACGCGCGACGAAGCCGGACTTCTGCTTTCGCGACCCGGGCGGACTTCTGCGGCCGTCCTGCTCTCGCGACCAACCAGGACCCGAGGTCAGCTTGCGACCCAGAGTGACCCAGAGTCGCGAATAACCAAAGTCTAGCCTCGGTCAGGGGCGTCGCTTTCCCCCTGGTCCCGCGACGTACCACGGAACTCCATGCCCAGTCCTCAGACCCGCCGATCTCCAACTTCTGTTCTGTTCTGTCCTGTTCTGTTCGACCTCGAGTCAGATCCGAACCCAGGGGTGGAGTCAGGCGGCTCAGCCCGTGTCGTGCACTAGGCTACGTACGACATATACGCGTATAATACAGTCACGAGGGTAGAGCCGCGAGTCGCGGTCAGAGGCGTAGTCCAGGGACCGGGCGAGGGAGTCGAGGTCCGCGGTCCCCGGTCCGCGAGGAGGAGGAGGAGGAGGAGTAGGAGGGGCGCGAGAGGGAAGCGGGAGAGAGAGAGAGAGAGAGAGGGGAGGAGAGGGGTCCGTTCGATCGTTGTTGGGTTGGGTAGGGTGGGGGGTGGGGTGGAGAGACGAGAGGCGCTCGGGGAGGCGGAGGAATAAATGAAGGAAGGAAGGAATGGTAATGAATGAATGAAGGAGGGGGGCCGATGTAGAAGCCGACGAAGGGGCACGATCGGAGCACGGGAGAGGAGGAGACGATGCGATCGTTGCGCTCGGCTGTCGGCGCCTGGCTTGCGTTTGAGCGCCTTCTGCTGCGTGTGCCGGTCCCGTCGTGGAATCTCGGCCCAGGTGCGCCATGAATAGCGGCAGGAAGAGGAGGAGGAGGTAGGCAAGGGAAGGAAAGCCTAAGGGAGAGGACCAGAGAGAGAGAGAGAGAGAGGGAGGACGAGAGAGCGACGAGAGAAGGAGGAGGAGGAGGAGGAAGACGTTGGCCAGCCAACGAGCCAGACAGGCACCAGCCGAAAGCAGCGGGAGCTTCGAAGCCTGCATCCAGTCCAGGCACGAGGACAGGGCGGAGGGCGGGGCTGGGGGCGGGGAAGTCGACGAGCAGGCAGGCAGGCAGGCAGGCAGGCAGGCGGCGATGGAGGAGGGGGAGGGCAAGGCGGGGGTTTTTTCTCTCGGACTGGGCTCGTCGGTTCGGTTGCCGGGCTGGGAGTGTCGAACCGTGCTCGCTGCTGGCGGTGGTGGCGACTAGAATACGAGCAGTTGGTGAACGGGAGGAGGAGCTGCAGCGTGGAGATGTTAGTGGTTCGGCGCGAGGGATCGTGTGGAGAAGCGTGAGTGAGCGGAGATAGGAAATGTTGCGGTGGATCGAGGATGCGGCTGTAAATAATTTCTCGTCGCAGGAGCAGGCGATTTTCGGCGAGCATGGCTTCGAGACGGCCGTGAGGAGGCGGAGCAGGAGCAGGAGGAGGCCGACGGGCTGGGTTTAGGGTCCGTCTTTTAGATGATAAGGCATGAGGTTGTAGGGTGGGGGCTGGCTGGTTTGAATGGTGCGACCCCGATGATGGTATCGAAGGAGGCCTGAATTCGGCGGGAAGTGGAGGAGGAGGAGGAGCAGCAGGAAGCGTGGAGGGCCGCCAAATGAGCCATGGTGGATCCAGGAAATCCGAGGCAGCGCGCGCGACCTGCGTGGCTGCAGCAATACGAGTTAGTCGGGAAGATTGGCGAAGGAACCTATGGATTGGTGTATTTAGCCCGTAGACAGCAGCCGCTACATAGGGGTGTGCGCATTGCGATTAAAAAATTTAAGCAGTCCAAGGAAGGGGATGGAGTTTCTCCGACGGCCATCCGGGAGATAATGCTTCTGCGGGAATGCATCCACGATAATATCGTCAAGCTCGTCAATGTACACATCAACTATGTGGACATGTCGCTATATCTAGCTTTCGATTACGCGGAGCATGATCTTTATGAAATCATTCGACATCACCGAGAGAAGTTGAGCTCTCCCATCAACCAGTACACGGTGAAGTCCCTGTTATGGCAAATTTTGAACGGGCTAAATTATTTGCACAGTAATTGGATTATACACCGGGATTTGAAACCCTCCAACATTCTGGTCATGGGAGATGGCGAAGAGCAGGGAGTGGTGAAGATCGGTGACTTCGGGCTAGCTAGAGTTCATCAAGCTCCTCTAAAACCCTTGTGTGATAACGGGGTGGTCGTTACCATATGGTACAGGGCTCCTGAGCTCCTTCTTGGGGCAAAACACTACACGAGTGCTGTGGACATGTGGGCTGTAGGTTGTATATTTGCCGAGCTTCTTACCCTGAAACCCCTGTTCCAGGGCATTGAAGACAAGAACGGCCAAAATCCCTTCCAACTGGATCAGCTTGACAAAATTTTTAAAACTTTAGGTCATCCTACCGCTGATCGATGGCCAACTCTTCTCAATCTTCCCTTCTGGCAGGCCAACCGCAATTTAATTCAAGGGAGGAAGTACGAGAATCCCGGCTTGTATAGTATAGTCCAGCAGCCTGCCAAATCTCCTGCGTTTGATCTCCTTTCGAAGATGCTGGAGTACGATCCAGCCAAGCGTATCTCCGCAGCTCAGGCATTGGATCATCAATATTTTCGAACGGAGCCCTTGCCGGGGAGAAATGCCCTCGTTCCAGGATCACCCGGTGAAAAAGTTGTACATTATCCCGCCAGACCAGTTGATTACTCGACAGATTTTGATGGCAGTACTGCTCCCCCTCAAAGTAATACAAATTTGGCTCCTCAGCAACAGCAAAGAGGTGAACATATGATGCAGGTTCCCGCAATGCATCAGCCGCTACACTTGCCAGCTATACAGAGAATGCCTCAGAACAACATGAACAATTTTAGTAGTGTCAATCAGCAGGGACGGAGAAAAGAGCCCGATTCTGGAAATCAAAATTACAACAACTACCAGCCTCTCAACAAATCCAGGCGCATGTAAAGGTACAGGTACAGACGTTTCTGCTGAAGTAATCGGTGTCGCTTGGCTGCACAGATTGCTGCCTTAATTTTTCAGCAGGCTTCTCTTTCAGGTACTTACTTACTCCACCTTCACAGCATTTTATCAACAGAAATGGACAGTCAATGAAAATGATTATTGCATACCAACCATCTGCTACGACTTTGTCGACCAGAACAATCCCGTAAAGATTGCGAGGGGTTTAGTCACGGTCAATACAGATTTTCCGTCTACATTCTAAACTCGATATAAGGATACGATCGGGACAGTGAGATTATGAGTATATGTCGAGGTATCCTTATATTAAAGATGGCCTATTTAGACGTGAAAAAGCTGTCAATCTTAGTCTGAATAGCTGTAGAATTCTTGTAACAATCCATCTCGACCTCGATCTCATCTAATGCACGCATATTGCGAATGTTCTCCTTCTGTAACTTCCAAAGCTTGACCTTCTCCATACACCTTAATGCTTCCACTGTAGTTATAACTTCGACATCCTCCTGTTACTCTTCCGCTTCCGGAGAATGCTTTTCTCAGCATCGCTCAAGGCTCTACGCCGTTTCTTGTCGTCCATTTTGGTGGTTATTTTGTTGTGGATTTAGACGTAATATTAAGCTTCGAGGTCAAAATAGGTGAGATCGAGAAATCGGGACCGTGAATCACTAAGGATATCCTTACGGCCAGGGTATCCTTATTCTGCCGCCTAAAATCTACGGGACCGCAAAAAATATACTTATCTACGAGGTTATCCTTATAAGGAGTATCCTTATGTCGAGTTTTGACTTGTACAGTTCAAATTGCAATATATTGATAGATACACAGGTTTTCGGTATATTGGTGTACAACGACTTTTTTCGATGTTCAAAAGCTGAGATAAAACTATAATCAACTTTGGTTTTTGACTTTGTGAGTGAAAGGAATGTGTAGGAGGTTTGGCTGATCCTTCTTTCTCTCTCTATGATGTAGGGATTGATGCGGGGATTCAAGAAAGTTGTGATTTGGTTGGGATATCGGAGGGGATGCACTTCTTTTCCATTGTACACTTAGCTTTCCATTTTTGAAGGAGAGACTCTCTAGATTCAACAGTTTCGTGCTCGTACGAAACACATCAGATTTTTAGCGGTCCAAAGGCTCGCTCCATGTAATTTAGATTTCGTGCAGAAACTTCATCGCAGTAAAATCGAGTTTGACATCTGTGTCTGATCTATGGTGACATCCGTACTCGTTAAAGGGATGCGTGACCACTTGGAGGTAGTTACTTGTTGCGTCTCTCGAGTTTTTCCGGCCATAAAGCCAACTGTGTCCGGCCGCTGTTTGTCTGGTAGTTAATCAACTAGAAGCATGCTGGCACCTCCGATAATCACAGGGATGCGTTTTTTTTGTGTTTGAATTCTGCAGATCAGCGTTACTTGGCTGGCATTCGTGTGATTATATATATATATCGAGGAAACTTTCATATCCACAGAGCGTTTGGTCCGGTGGATTTCGTATATTTTTCCCTCTGATTGACATGGAAGAGATCGTTTGGTACTTGGAAGATTGCACCTCATTGTCATTGGTTTCAGGCATGAATATGTTTAATCTGTCTTTTCCTTCTTCTTTTGGAGTTGGTCCTACCTCGGGACTTTGTCACTTCTGCTTTGAAGCGACAAAGCAACCACAGCACAATGTTCTAAGTATCATTTACTGACTAATGCTCATAGTGTTCAAACGACGTGGTCAGTCAACAACATGTAATTTGAAGTACTACATCGTTCACCAAGTCAAGGCATGATGATTGCCTTTTTATTGAAGTTTCTCAAAGCCAATCCCGTGTCACAGAATGCTTTGGATCTTTGCTTGACTCGTGAAGGCTAGGGAGAAGAGCTAAACCTTGGCGAATTCATTTTGAATCCATTAGGTTATGGCTTGTTATTACAAGCACATGTTTATTTCCTGTTCTGTAAGCTCTGCCTGAATTCTTCCTTCTCTGAGATTCTTAGTCGAGTGATTATGTACACATATATGAACGAAACAATATGTTAGTCAACTCTCATGAACACGTGTTTTTATGATTCCTTTCTTCTCTAATATCCTAATGTTCATCATAATACAAATTGTTTCTCTTTTTTCTTTCTCATTGGTTTATATGGCAGAAAGCAATTTCAAGAAGTAGGGAGATCCCAGTGCCCGATTTCTTTGGGCATGTGTGTGATGTACATCCTTGTTCGTCGATTTCCATATCTTTACAAAAAGTAGTTCCAGCGGAGTGGACGATGGAGCGTGTCATCTATCCATATTGCTACATGAGTGGTTGTCACTGAAATTCTTTTACATACAGGGGAGTAGTATCTTACCGCCCTGAATGTGGAGAACCAAATCATATTGGTGATGGACGGTTTGAGACGCAGTCAGTCTTTGCTTTTCACCTTTGCAGTCAGATGGCGGTGTTTTTCTTGTTCAACATTTAGCCTTTATCTGTAGTTAAAGTTAAATGAGCATGGAACCCTCGTCAAGAAACCAAATGAAAACATTTGAGGACAATATTTACGACAAAACATAGAGACGGCAAGAAAAGAAGTGTGGCCAGAAAGAATGCGAGATCTGATATCATGAATATGAATTATTATTTTTTGAGTCTATTAGGAGATTTGGAAAGATAAAATCGGTATCTATCCCACTCCATCCTAAAGTGACGTGTAATTCCTAAGAATAACATTGCAAGTCTACTTTCATTACCACCTACCTTATGAACATTGTTGGGACTACCATACCGTTAAAACTCTACCTCATAATTGAAAGAAGCTCTATATACAAAAAAATTACATGATGAGATAAAACCGAAACGTAAAATACATGCAGGAAATCAACAATTCATTATCTTGTATAGTATTCCACCATGGACCTTTGTCGCCTATCTTCCAATAATCTACATGTCTTTTACTCCAAAGTTTAATTCGAGTTCTTCTAGTCTAATAGTTGGAGACTATGTGTGGAAGAATTGCCCCCATGAGGCCGGAATGTTGTCATGATATTTTAGTTATTAGTTTGAAATGAATATCGTAAGAATTTATTGATGAATGTATTGAGAGTAACTCATCATTGTGTTGACAATAAAATATTATGTGGATGATAAAGAGTTTGTGGTGGAGATGTATCATAAACTTTGGATTTTTTAAATTCAAAAAATTAAATTTAAATAAGAAAATTAATGTTACATTGATGATAACGCTTCAGCATGAAGATTGTGTATGCGAAGTTCAAAAATCAACTTGTAGATACTGTCACACACGCATGTCTTATTTTATGTTTCAAACGTGATTATTGAACCAAGATGACGTAGATCACAAAGGAGTAAAAAAAAATCACAAGAGTATTACAAATTGAAAAGGCGGAGAATTATCTAGATTTGACATTTTACAAGCAACAAATTTGGATTCCATATAATAAAAAATTACACATAATGATTTTAGCATAAAGTAATGATACAACAATCATAAATCATATGCAAGTGGAAAAATACTTGAAAAATATAGGAGCATCTTATTGGACCAAGATTCGAGAGTATGTAAAATTTTACATTTGTAATTGTAATGCTTGACAACAAAATAAAGTAAGTTATAAAAACCAACTGGTTTTATTTCTATCTTTTCTTATTCTAGAACAACGTTGGGAACATGTCATAATGTATTTCGTATTTGAGTTTCCAAAAATATTATTAGAAAATGATTCTATGGTAATTTTTATGGAAAAATTTAAAAAGATGATTCACATTAAATTAACTTCATAAACAATAACAGCTTCATAACTAATTCAACTGTATCTATATGCAATTTTTGTAAATCATGTCTAAAGTAAAATGTTAATCATTGATATAAGTACTGGTTTTGTTTAGAAAATTCTATTCAGTTTTTTTTTTTAAAACTAAAAATATCAATTGAACGAAAAGAGACATAAGATTGATTGTTGTTTGTGTGAAATAGTAGTACAATTAACTAATGATTTATCAGAGATAGTTTAGTAATAACTAAGTCTAGCTAGTTATGACTATGTTTAATTCTGACATATATAATTGGCAGACGAATTAAGCTAGTTCTAGAGGATTCCAGTGAACACAATTATTTTGTCTTTTATCAAAGTTTAGATTTCAAGGAATGAAGTTTCTTGACTACATGTTAGTTTAGATTGATTTGACTAAGTAATGGAAATTTGATTGTTTAGATTGGGTCTACTTAGTGGCAAGTGAAGTTTCTAAAATTTTGAAGGTTTCAAATGACATATCGCCATTTCAATGTATGATCAAGAAAACTTCTAGATGATTTAGATAGATCAATGACATATTATCATGTAATGAGAATTAATTAAATCTACAATGATTTCTTTCAGTAAAAGTAAGTTAGATAATAATTACCATGTGTTGCTTTGGAAATTTTTCAAATAGTATAAATGAAGAAGTAAAAAATAGACTCTCAAGCACTTTTTAATAATTCATATATGTGTGTATTTTTTTCATCAATATAAACGTGAGGTAGAGTATATTTTTAGAAGTATTGATGAATGTTGTAATTAGCTTTTGAGTGAAAAGTTTGTGTAACAGAATATTTGAAACAAATCAAGTTTAGTATCCATTTTTTTCTACAAACATGATGAGAGTTCAAAAAGTTATCTGAGATAAATTTGAGTAAAAGTCAATTCAAAGCTCACAGAATCAATAGAATTGTGGAGACTATGTTAAAGACATTAGAAGAGTAAAAATAGTGAAAAATACTTTTAACTCTTGTGAAATTTGCATATATTAATTCCGTTATCGCATCCACAAAAATATTTCCATATTATCACATATGGTGTTCATTTCATAATTCATTCAAGTTTGATGAGATATTCAAAACTAGATTAGTTTTGATAAAGTTGTGTTGTGCGAATATATATTGCCATACATTTCTAAACGTAAAACGAGGAATCATTCAAGCCAAGTAGAAACACACGACACACTCATATAACGTGGTTCATCCTAAGGGGCTACGTCCATGGCTAAAGCGCACGAGAAGCTTTACTGAAACAGAATACTGAAAAATGCTATCTGAAGTTGTAGAAGCCTTGAGGTATATTTCTACCCAAAGCCAACAACAGATCTAGCTATAAATAGCTATAACCTTAGGTTACTCCTTAACCGGAGTTAACCTCAACAATCTCTCCCTAAACTCGTGTTAAGAAAACAATAACCTCTATAATCTATATTATTACTCAGCGGGAAGTTCTGGACAGAAACCTAACACAAGGCCCCTCTTCACACGAGAGTTAACTAGAACTAGACCGTATCCCTAAAAGGATAGAGTAATAACATAAAGAGTTAAATTAGAAACCTGCTTGCATAGAAGTATTAGAGATTTCTATTACTAAGTATTAGTCTATATAATTACTCCGCGGGAAGTTCTAGATAGAAACTTAATACAAGCTACCTCTTTACACAAGAGTTAACTAGAGCTAAACCGTAGCCATCACAAGATAGAGTAAATATGTAAAGAGATAACTAAAGTTATTATGCTAGCAAATCCTACATGTGTTCCCCATGCACAACCTACATGATAACACAGTGTTCCCTGAAACTCTCCAAAGGAATAACTCTGGTCAAAGCATCAACTGTATTGAGTTTAGCGTCGATCTTGACAAGTTCAATTGTTTTGTCAGACACGACTTGTCTGATGAAAATGATATCTAAAATCGATGTGCTTCACTCTGCTATCCATGACTTGGTTCGCAGCCAAATGTAAGCACTCTAGCTATCATATTGAAGATTAATCACGCCTTGCTTCAATCCCATTTCCATGATAAGTCTATCCAACCAAATAGCTTCCTTTTCCGTTTCTGCAACTGCCACATATTTAGCTTCCGTTGTTGACCGAGCTACGTATTTCTGCAAACTAGACCTTCAACTAATGCTTCCACTGCCGAGTGTAAACACATACCTAGTTGTAGATTTTCTTGTATCTAGATCATATCAGCAGTCTGTATCAACGTAACCAAACAATGATTCGGCATCGTTTAATAGACCATCAAACAGTATGCCATATGCCAAAGTACTCTTCAAGTATCTCATAATCCATTTCACTGCTTCTCAGTGAACCTTCCTTGGATTTGACATGTACCTCCTTACCTTGCCCATCGCAGTGGCAATATCCGGCCTAGTGCAAACCATCAAATACACGAGGCTGCGTACTTCTTGTTCATAGGGAGCACATGACAATCTTCCTTTCTCCATCTCATCGGTAGTACATTGAGCTGCGGAGAGTTTGAAATGTGCTGCCAAAGGAGTGCATACTCCTTTGAAATCGACTATGTTGAACATGTCAAGTATAAGACGAACATACTTGCATTGACTCAGCCATAATCTCTTCTGTTCATGATCCCTATGAATCTCCGTGCCTGATATTCTCTTCGACTTTCCCATATCCTTCATCTTAAATGCACACTTTAACTTATTTTTGCATTCATCAACATCAGAT